CATCGGTGAGGGCCTGCTCTGGTTTTGCACATTTTAAGTTGTGGTGCTTCTCTTTGCCTTTGCAGTGTATCACATGAAGCAAGATGGCTGGATCCGGGTTGGGCTCACCGATGTCGACGAACTGCTCCATCGCTACGCAGAGGAGAAGAAGTGAGGGCTGTGAGGGAGAGCGGAGAGGCTGGCAGAGAAGTCCGGGGTTCAAGAAACGTTTCCGACGCTCAGGGTTGAAGGAAAGAAAGGGACAAACACGCGGTTGGACGGGGCCAACAATAAAAAAATATACGGAGCACTTAGATTCTCTGGCTTTGATCTAGCGTCACTTAAGACCACAATGGCACAATCTGAAAATATAGCTATTGAAGTTAATTCCGAAATCTGTGCTAAGGTTAAACCTTTTATCAGACCAGCTGAATGAAGAGAAAACTGTGCAAAGTTCTGAATTGACTAGAATGTTTCAGCGGCCACCAAAGCAAATGACGGTGGAGTTCGTTAGGAGTGGGGAGTGGCTGAGGTTTTTAAAGTGGGATAATTCCGGAGAACTCTGGTTCTAAACAAATTCAGGAAATGTTGATTTGCTTCCTGTCCAGTTCTCTCACCTAATTCGCCAATCAATCAGCCCATTCATCCATAAATCCAGATCTCATAACTAAAAGGTCACCAATTACCATATAAACAATCTGGGATGAATTTGAAATTCTTGTTTAGGTTTTTTAGGAAAATAGTCGGGGTTCCAATTTGGTGTGGAATTCGACAAACTGAAAAAGAGAAGGAAACAAATTTTTGTGCAGGCCACAGCCTTTTATTTTTCCACAGTTATCGTCTGTAAGAGCCCCAGTTGATCAAACTGAGCTGGTGGCTCAATGAACAAGGTGCCACAGAATATTTCTAGACATCCCGTCATCTCAGGAAACAGCAAAAAAACTGCACCACGTTAGGCTGATTGCACTATTGTGGTGGTCTTGATAAGGGATGTGGGAAACTTGTTTCGTTGATATCCTATTTCCTCTCCCCCCCCCCAAGCAGGCTCAGGACAGCATTTATAGGTCTTCTTCTCCCCATTTTATCTTCTCAATAACCCTGCAAGGTAGAGCAAACTGAGACAGAATTGATTGGCCAACAATGAGTTTCGTGGCTGATGAGGGATTTGAACCCAGGGCTCCTTAAACCTGTTCCAATACTATAAGCAGTACACCACACTGCCTTCCCAAGCCCTTCCCTTCCCAGCATGCCCTCAGTCTAATTTGTAATATTTCTCCCTTCCTAGGAAGATTATTACCACACTGAAAAATTTAAAACAGGAAACAAAGCTGTTGAAAGAGTATAGAGGTAATGGGTTCAAGGCTCTCTTCGTTCCCAGCCTTGAAGGGCAACCATTAAAAATGCTGATTGTCTTAATTTCCCTTCTGTGAGGAGAGAACAATACTGACCTCTCCTTCAGGGGTGTTGTCAGCACTAGGAAAACTGAGAATTGAACTGCATAGCAAGAATACAATACACATCAGAAACATGAAAAAGACACAAGAGGATATTTTATCTCCTTCTCTGTTCAACCTGTTGAAATATTTGAGAGTTTGCACACAGGAGATTAAGTGTGAGTATAAAAAAGCACACAGATCATGAACAATATTCTCCCTTGAGACAATGTATGTGTGCGTGCGTGCACACACATACACACACGTGAGCGCACACCAGCAGATAATAGAGTAATCATTGAGTCCTAGTAAAACGTTTACTGAAAAACATGTTGAAAAATAAACTGAACAGTGCTTGAACATTTGATTTGGTATAGATTTCACTTGTGCTTGACATACCTCTTATAACAGGTTTGTAACATCTTTCATAACTTACTAACAGCAGGCAGTTAGCAACAGCACGTTCAACTGAACACCAACTTATCAACAGAGATCCTAACAAGATATGTCCCACACTGTCACTTTTTCCTTAGTATATGACAATTAACTGTCTAAGCATCTATTGGCTAACACTAGACGCAATCTCGTTGGTTACACATGCTCTCTTATGCAAAGAACGGATCTAATTCATTCCTATGTACACATACACACATATACATGCTGGGTTGCGTAAGATATATGCACCCTACCATCACTTGTATGCAGAAATCTTACGGAAAGCCAGACTGGATTCAGATGAAGGAGGAGTGAACATTGGTGATATCACAAATATCAAGAATTTAAGGTATGCGGATGATACCATTTTAATGGCAGAAAGCAGCCATGACTTGAAATGGCTGCTGGTGAAAGTGAAAGGAGAAAGTGCCAAAGCAGGATTGTAGTTGAACATTAAGAAGACAAAATGAATTGACTAGAGAAGAATGGAAAAGAAAGAAAGAAAGAAAGAAAAAGGGGGAATGAAAAAAGAATAATAATTGAAAAAAGGAAAGAAGAAAACAAAAATGGAAAAAATAATTTAAAAGAAAATAAGAGAAATAATGAAAAAAAATTGAAAATAATAAAATTATAAAAGAAAATAATTTCCAACTGGCTGGATAGCTCAGTGGTTTAGGTATCTGGCTGTGGAGCCAGAGGTTTGACATTCAGTTCCCAGCTGTGCCTTCGGGCAGAAAAGCCAGCCTGTGTGGCCTTGGGCAAGCTGCACAGTCCGAGAGCAAACCCCCACCCCACCCCAAAGATGGCAAATGGGGAACCACTTTTGAGTGTTCTTGACCTTGAAAACCCTGGAAAGGGTCACCGAAAGTCACAACTGACTTCACAGCAAACAATTATTATAGAGAAGACTATGTAACTGTATTATGTATTCTTCTTCTGGAGGAAAGGCTAATGTGGGTGGGGATGCAGACCCCTTGGTGACTTTTTGTTGGGAGAGATGGGACACAAATTTGAAGATGCTTCTTGATGCTATGATGCTCATGAACGCTCAACTGGCATGTATTACAATAACCAGATATTGCAACAAGCATGCCAAGAAACTTTTGATAGCCTGAGGAAGATGGAATATGTTGCCACTGAAAGTCCCCAATCAGCTTGTATTTTCCAGCGGTCTAATAAAGGGATCGCCTGCTTCTGCATTTATATTGACATCACTTTGTGTTGACAACCAAGATGTTGAAATTACAGGTTTGGGATATATCAGTTCCATGACAAGTCCAAACGGAGATGGCTGCTAAGAAACCAGAAGAAGATGGAGATTCGGGAAGGCAGCAATGAAGGAATGAGAAAGTATCATTTAAGTGCAAGGATGTGGTTTTGAGAAAGGTAGCTGTGTTAGTCTGTGCAATCTTATCAAGCAAGATCCAAAAAAAAAAAAAAACCAGAAGAAAATAAAGAGCTATGGCACCTTAAGGACTCTTAAAGCCAACGAATGTTCTGAATATTTTACGTGTGAGTTTGGCATTTCGTCCTGTATTTAATTCTATTCCATATGTCCCGAGAAGTGGATGTGATGCATGAAAGCTTATATTGAAATGTAATAGTCTTTAAGGTGCCACCACAGTTTTGTCCTTTTTTTGTTTCGCTTTTTCTTTTCTTTTTTTCCTTTGGATTTCCCCTGACACGTGTCAGAATGTGACCCCGGAGGCCAGAGCGAATGGTGTTTGCTCGAGAAA